TGAAAAATGCGGAAGTGCTAGAACGGAAGTCCGTGGCATATAGTCTACTGGTAGAGCTGCTGCCTCTCAGTGAGCAGGTCCCTGGTTCAAATCCCGGTCTGGGGTCTTTCTGGGTGGAGTTTGCATGTTCTCTCAGTGCATGTGTTGGTTTTCTCTGGTTACTCCAGTTTTCTCCCACAGACCAAAAACATGCATGTTGGACTGATTGGTAACTCTAAAGCCCCCAGTATACTGCCGCGTACATCCATACGCAGAGGTACGAGCGTACCCCCCAGCGTACCCTCCATGCAAAGCTCAAATTTTTATGACCGCATGCGCGTACGCGGTGTCGCACAATAAACTGCCCAGCAACGGACTGTTTTGTATGCGACACCAATGTATTAAATTCCTCTTCTTCATCCCTGATCTGGCCTTTTCTTTAGTTTTTTTGCCAAGAGGCAGAGATCTCTTCCTCCTCCGTTGATGCCATGACTGAAATGGTGAGAAATGGAGGAATTTGTCACGAGCAAATTAAACTCAGGTCCAACGTGGCTGCGGGAGGGTCTGGAGATTTCCTAGTGGGCTGGTCTGATGTGTGGGCTGCAGAGCCAGCGCTCTCTGTTTTTTTTTTTTAGATCTTTTTATTAACACCATATAAACACAGAACACCGCTGCAGCGGAGGCTGACAGTGCTCGCTTTTTTTTCTTTTTTCCGACCTGTCAATCAATCCAGTAGGCGTGTCAGCAAATGACCAATCGGCGACCTCAATTTGTCCCGAAGGTAAACGTCCCTTGTCTGTCAAGCTGCTCTGCAGCTGATCGGGGTGTACACTGGAGTATGAAGTCTGAACCCTCTGCATACAGTACACGCGTACGTACGCATGAACGGACGTACGCAGCAGTATACTGGAGCCTTTAATTGTCCCTAGGTGAGAGTGAGAGAGTGAATGGTTGTTTGTCTCTATGTGTCCCTGTGATGGACTGGAGACCTGTCCAGGCTGTGTCCCCCGCCCCTCGCACTGTGATTGCTGGACATGGACACCGGCGACCCCCGTGGCCCAAAATGGAAGAAGCAGGTAAAAGATAATGGATGAATGGATTTATCATAATTTTACATTCATATTTACATAATGATATTTCATAATTAATATTTTTAGATTTTAATGCCTGTTTTGTTAGCATGTCTGCACCCTCATTGGCTTCCACTCCCACATGTGCTGGAACCCAAACAAAATCTACAGATATCTGCCTTTTGTTAAGTTTATGCAGAATGTGGTAAATCCTGTTTATTATGTCTTTTCTTTTTGAGTTATTTGATTTGATGCATAATAAGGCTGCCATATTATCAGATGCAATTACATATTTTTAATCATTATGTTGTTCAATCTACTCTAAACCCATGAGTATTGCTAATAATTCTAGTGTATACACTGTCAAGTTATCTGTTGTTCTTTTCTTTATTTCTATATTTTGGTATGGGATGTATATTATAATGTATATATATATATACATATACATAGATACATATACATATATAGATATATATATATACATATATATATATATATATACATATTGTGTATATATATATATATATAAATATATATATATTTATATATAATTTATATATATATATATATATATCATCTCTATCATTTTTCCTGTAGTTTATCGTTGCCATTGTTTCCTGTTGTGTCTGGAGCAGGTTTCTTGTAAACGAGTCCTTGTGGCTCCATGAAGCCAACCTGTATAAATAAAAGGTTGAATAAATCATTATGTGTATATTTATATTCATTCAACCTTTATTGATACAGGTTAGTCCCACTGAGCCACAAGGACTCATTTACAAGAGAGACCTGGATTTGAACAGAGTGATGACAACAGTGGACAACAAACTGTTTTTAATTGTAAAACAAACAAACAAACAATAACATTTGTCTGAATCATTAGTGAATGTGTTGTTGTTGTTGTTGTTGTTGTCAGTGTGTTATGATGTTGTGCTGTGGTCCAGTGTGTCCACAGACGATGTGTGTGAGGGTGGACATGTTTGGAGGTTGCTGTGTTGAAGCTCCATGGATCAGCCTCTCTGCAGCTCTCAGCACCTTCACTGAGCTGCTCTTGTTCTTCACAGGTAGAAGGTGGGAGCTCTCGTCAAATCATCATCTCCAGCATCATCTTGTTCATGCCAGGCTGTTCATCCACTGACCACACACACCTGGAAACATCAGGGGACCAGTTTAACACATCTGGAAGGAAACCAGTGAGATTTAATACGACCAGTATGATATGATGTCATGTGGGGGAGTGGTGGAGCAGAGGTTACAAGATGGGCCTGTGATGGGAAAGTCACAGGTTCAACTCCCGGTACCGTCAACATCAAAATGAGGTGGAAAAGGTGAAACACCCACACCTGCCTCCACCCTCATTGGCCCCACCCTGGTCCCCTGAGCAAGGCACTCAACCCCCACCACCTGCTCCTAAACAGGTCTCTCTTTAAAATGAGTTCTTGTGACTCAGTGAGTCGACCTGGATAAATAAAGATCAATGAAAAATAAAGTTTAAAATAGAAATACATCATGAGGCCAAGGTTGTGTGTGTGACGTGCACGTTCCTGAGAGTGTGTGTGTGTGACGTGCACATTCCTGAGAGTGTGTGTGACGTGCACGTTCCTGAGGTTGTGGGTGTGACGTGCACGTTCC